TTTCATATCGAACATGGGAAAATGGTCATATCTCGAGACGTCAAATTTGTTGAGACTTATTTCCCTTTTGCCAGCATAAAGGCAAGTCTTGATAATGCAAACATCCTGGTTGATACCACCTGCTATGACATCAACCATTATGATGGGTCTAATGAGACCACTAAAAATGAAACAGAGGTTGAGCCTAATCATAATGAGAACGAAAATCTGGATGACAATACAACCACTAGCCACCATAAGGATGACGTCTTGGAAAGTCCATCAACTCCTTGTGAGGATCCTAACGACAACTCACCACAACACACTCACATGGATAGTCCACCGAGAGCTAAACGAACTAGGATTCAACCAGCATATCTAAAAGACTACATTATGAATTTGCCTCCTATCGTAGACCACACACAACCCACTCCTCACTCAACTTCTTTAATGGCACATTCTCTTGGAAAATATCTCCTATATGATAAATTTTCTAACATACATAGGGCTGCGTAACAGCTTTCAAAAAACAATGTACCAAAAAGCTTTAAAGAAGTTATGCAGGACCCATGGAAGGAAGCCATGCAAAAGGAAAACATAACACCTTGAGTCTTGAACATCTACCGAAAGGGAAACAGACCATCAACTCTAGGGAAAATGAATTATAAGCCCAAAGAAGTTTTCAAACCGTTCAAAAAACCCCAATCATGTTTTATCTGTTCAAGAAAACCCAACGAACTTAACATTTTGTCTAAAAATGCCCAACTAACTTACACTGAAAGTCAACAAATGATATGACTGATGACGTGTAATTAAATATCGGAAAATGACTTGTAAGACCAATGAAATTTCAAAACCATTCAGAAAGCCCCAATTATGTTTTGTTTGTTGAAAAAAACCTAACAGACTTATGTTTTTGTTCAATTTTCATTAGAGGCAATCAGATTCATTAGGTATACAAATAGGTGGCAAATGACATGGCATTATATATTTAATGACATGGAACACATAGATTAGAAATTTAGAATTGTCCTTTATATATTGATTTAGGACTTGGAGAAGAGAAAAACGAATGGCGTCTGTTTTCGATCTCTTGTAATAGTTACTTCTTATTCTTTCTCTCAATCGTTGATGTCTAACTCAAGATCTACAAAGAAGATATTTGATGATGCAAACTCTTGTGGATATAGGCGTCCTTTTCGGATTTGGACATCTAGAATGGAGGATCATCCAGAGATAATGTTTAGGGCTTGTTCGAACAGATGGGTAAGTGTAATTAAAATATTTATCATGTCCATTTTAATAAGTTTTTGTTTTTGAAAGAAACCAAACAAATAGATAGAATATGGACATGATAAAGCTTTCTGTTATACCTTCCCATATGCTCGAACAAGCCATAAACTTTTTTTTTTCACATGATGATCCTCCATTCTAGATGTACAAATCCAAAAAGGGAGCCCACATCCACAAGGGTTTTCATCATCAAATATCTTCTTTGTAGATCTTGAGTTGGATATCAACGATTGAGAGGAAGAAGTAGCTATTACAAGAGATCGAATACAGACATGATTTGTTTTTTTCTTCTCCAAGCCCTAAATCGATATATAAAGGGCAATTCTAATTTGTTTATTCCATGTCATTTAATATAATGCCATGTCATTTGCCAACTAGTTATATACTTAATGAATTTTGTTGCCTCTAATGAAAATTGAATAAAAGCGTAAGTTCACTAGCTTTTTTTCAACAAACAAAACATGATTGAGGTTTTTTGAATGATTTTGAATCTTTGTTGGTGTTACAAGTCATTTTCCGATAATTAATTACACGTCATAAGCCATGTCATTCATTGACTTTCATTAGCCGGTTGACCCTAAATGAGAAGTGAGAGAAAGTGTAAGTTTGTTGGGTTTTTTAGATAAAAGGTTAAGTTCGTTGGGTTTTCTTGAACACACAAAATATAATTGGGTTTTTTGAACGGTTTGAAAACTTCATTAGGCTTATTAGTCATTTTCCCTCGACTCTAAGTGGGTTTATAAGACCAAATATAAACCAACCGGTGAAATTGAGAGATACAAAGCTCGTCTCGTGGCTAAATGATTTACCCAAATTGAAGGCATTGATTATCACAACACTTTTTCCCTTGTCACTAAATTAGTTACACTTTGCTGTTTAATACGGTAGTTTAAGGGGGATTAGTTGCTTCACCAATTGGACGTCAATAACGCGTTCTGGCATGTTAATCTTCAAGAAGCAGTTTATACGGAGATTCCTCAAGGATTCTCTAAACAAAATGAAACCTAGTTTTGTCGCTTCAAAAAGTCCCTATACGGCCTAAAACAAGCCTTTCACTCGTGTTACCAACGGTTCACCTCGGCTTCGATTCAGATTAGATACAAACTGGCCATTCCCTTTTCACTTTCAAAGAAGGCAACTCCTTTGTTTCCATTCTCATCTATGTGGATGATGTGAAACAACTAAAAATTGACCATTGTCTTGAAAGCTAGCTGACTGATGCCAAGCAATATCGTTACCTACTCGGGAGACTTTTGTACCTCCAGGCTACCCGACCAGACATTGCTTACTATGTCAACACTCTTAGTTTTTTTTTTTTTCTGATACTCGTGAAGAACACTGGTAACCGTTACTCTCATCTTTAGGTATATTAAGAATACTTCGGGACAATGTATCTACATTCCAAGAGTGGTGGAGTTGAAGATCGTTAGATACTGTGATGCGGATTGGTTAGGTTGCCTTTTCTCAAGAAAATCAAGAATTGGTTACCTTCTTCTCTTAGGAGGAGCTTCGGTTTCATAGAAGACCAAGAAGTAGTCGGTTGTCTCTAATTCCTCAGTAGAAGCTGAGTATCGCTCCATGGCAACTACCATGAGTGAAACAATTTGTTAGTTGCATGTTGACATGGTTGAGCCCACACCCTTATTTCGTGACAATGTTGCTACTCGTGACATTGCTAATAATCTGGCCTTTCTCGAGCGCACTAAACGCCGTCAAAATAGATTGTCATTTTGTTTGGGAACATGTGGAATCTAAAGAAATCCTTCCACTGCATATCGATTCTAAGAACCATATTACTACTAACCTTTTCACCAAACCATTGGGCGCCCGTCAGCTTCGTTTTCTCCTTGACAGGCTAGACATTCTTGACCTTCATCCTCCATATTGAGGAGTAAAGAAATATTTTGTTTTACTTACGTATTCTTGTTAACTTACCTTCCTTTTGCTTTTTATTTCTCGCGTAATGTTTGGGAGTTTGTTTTGTGTTCTCCCTTTATAACCTTGTTTTGGTGAATGATAATAACAAGTTGGCTAAATATCGCTTTCTTCACAAATACTAACCAAAAAGGAAATAGTAATAGCCAATAAAATTCATTAAACAAAAATAAATCGGCCCTAATCAGCAAATATCAATTACTGGGGAGTACGATGACAATTCATGACATGATACAAAACAAAATTAAAATTGAAATTTGTGTTTGTGTAAAAGGTAAAAAAGAAAAAAAAAACGCCTTCATGTCGTATTTGTGTTCAACATTTGACACAAAATTGACACGAGTTAACATGTGTTCTCGTGTTACTCATGTTTTGTAAGATTATTAATTTTAAATTAAAAAAACTAAAATTTTATTTTATTTTGTCTTTTCATGTTTTTCGTGTTGGTTGTATTTATCATGTTTTAATTGTATCGTTTTTGTGTTTGTAAATCAAAAGACAACATCATGTCGTGTTGCGTTAGTTAAAAATACAATACGACTGTCGGATTTGCCACCCGTATCCGTATCCCTGGGGGATTGAGCAAGAAGCTGCGCTAAGACAAAAACTCCAATCTCCAAATTTTAATTAGAATTCCAATGCAAATGCCTATTCCAATTCCAATTCCAATTGGTGAGTCAAGTTGATTGCTTCCAATTTCCACTTCCTATTAAGAGACAAAACTAGAGTATATCTTACAATCAAATCAACGATAAAAAAAACTAATAACTAACTGATTCGATGACATCTTGCACCAAAACAAACATTAATTCACAATTTTTTTCAACAAATTAATAAATCAAAACATCCAATGAATATCATTAAATCATCACACAGTTAGTTACTTACCGCTGAGATTTCAGAAGGAGAGATGAGATTATGAATGAGAATTCAAGGACATCGAGAATCATCCACTCCTTGGTAGTTGGCTCCTCTGTTTTACTTCAGAGATCTAATTAGGCGCGAAGCTTGACTTTTTTTTTTTTTTTTTTTTTTTTTTTTTTTTTTTTTTTTTTTCTCTTTGAATAAGCCTGTTAATTACCTCACATATCATTTCCAATTACAGAAAATGTCTGGTGACACTAAAGGCATCAACACTTAGGTGGTCAAAGCTTGATTTTTTTTTTTTTTTTTTGTGATGTGTAAAATCATGTAAACATTACATCAATGTCATGCCATTTCAAAGTGAAGTGAAATGCATACCAATAGCTTAAAAGAATGCAAGGAATGGAGAGTGGGTAAAAAATGTTTATGCTGTGTAAATTGCTTTGATATTTGAAATTTTTTCTTAATATTTAAAATTTTCCATCTTTGTAAAGACATATCTCGATCATCTATATTTTGATAAAATTCTCCATTGATATCTCTCACCATTACCTTGGATTGTTCACCATCTAATATAAAATAGAGATATATTTTAATGATTTAGGTAGGGTAAGTGGGATATAACGTTGTGCAAGAATAAAATTGTATGTTAATATACACACACACACACATATATATATATATATATATATATATATATATATATATATATATATATATATATATATATATATATATATATATATACACATTTGAAAATATGAAGTAACTATAATAATTATTCGTTTTAAAACATGGAACTTACTAAATCGTAAATTAAAACAAATATAAAAAATATACCAAATTTTTTTTACATAATTTCTTGTTTGAGGGATGTGTGTATGGCGTTGTCCTTGGTTTGTAGTAGCAAGTTTTTTACAACTATAGCGATCTTCATTGACTTAATTGTTTACTACTACAAACATATGTTAAGCTTCTGAACAAGGAGCCATTTAGATGGATACCCATTTAGATGAATACATATTGACAGGATGCATATAGGGAACTTAATAAAAGTAAAAAACACTAAAACTCTGAGTATATCAAGTAAGATATGTCAAGTCAAAGCAGATCCTTCATTAACAGATTTGAAACTTTCTGCATTGTTGGTCTTTCAAGTGGATTGGAGTTCAAACATGCTCTTGCGAGACTCAAAACCAACCTAACTTGTTTCTCAACTTGTGACGAGGGAGACGGAATCCGACTATCTCCCACATTTTCTGCGACCAGATACTCAACAGACAATGTTGGTAAAGATGTTATCAGTTCTTCAGGATGCTTTCCAATCATCACTTCTAGTGCAACAACTCCAAAGCTATACACATCACATTTCTCATTTGCCACCATCGTATAAGCAAGCTCTACATCCAAAGAAGCATGGGATAAAAACAAAAATAGCGATATCAACCCCATAAGACTCTAAAATAGATACACATATATACATATTTATATATATCATGAAACTTAAGAAGATGTAGAAGTACAATCACAAGATTGTGTTACCTGGCGCGATATAACCATATGTGCCTGCAATTGCGGTCCAGTTGGATGAGTCTAGCTTTAAAAGCTTGGAGGTCCCAAAATCAAAAATATGTGCCTCATAATCAGAATCGAGAAGGATGTTGGCAATGGAAATGTCTCTATGAATTATAGGAGGCGAGCAGTCGTGATGCATATAAGCCAAACCATTAGCTACACCCTTTACAATATTTACCCGTTTCAACCAATCCAATTCTTTTGCCAAGACATCGCTTCTTAATATTGATCCAAGGCTTCCCTTTTCAAGGTATTCATAAATCAAAAATGAGTGGCGAACATGGGAGCAATATCCATAGAGTTTCACTATGTTTCGATGCCTTATGTTCGTTAATGCTCGTACCTCATTAAGGAATCCATTATGATCAACATTTTCCGATCCTGAGTGAAGTTTCTTGACAGCTACCACATTGTTAGGTTGTAGCTCGGCTTTGTACACAGTCCCATATCCTCCGGTCCCAATGCAGTATACTTCATCGAAATCATTTGTTGCCTTCAAGATATCAACATACACCACTTTTCCATCAAAACTTGTGATAGAGAAATAATCACCACTTTCTTCATCCAATGGTTTTTGTGGAGACTTTTTCTTTTGTTGTTGATAAGCAATGAGGCCATACATGAATACACCAAGTATAAGAGTCCCGATAAGGGGGATCATAATTACAAGGATAAGCTTATGATGGAAGGGATCATTTTTCTTCTTCATAGTCTGACTTGGACAAAGTTTCAATCCCGTAACATTCCCACACAAATCTGGATTGCTTTCTAAGGATGAATTCACAAAGTTAGCGCAAGATGGGACTGGACCTGAGAGCTCATTGTAAGAAAGGTTGATATCAATCACGTTAGGCAAATTCATAAAAGCATCAGGAATACAACCGGATAGTCTATTGTGAGAAAGATCCAATTTTTGCAAACTCTGCAAACTTTGAAATTTCAGATGGTATCTCTTTCGTGAGAAAATTATGAGATAAATCAAGTTCGGTAAGATGAACTAATTTACCAATCTCGGATGGAATTTTCTCACTGAGTTTGTTATTACTAAGATTCAAGTAGTGGATTTGTTCCCATTGACCGATACTTCTTGGAATTGACCCATTCAATCTGTTTTTGGATAGATCCAGTACTTCAAGGAGTTCACAAAATCCAAGCTCTAGAGGTATATACTTTTCATCTTCCCAAACTCCTTTGGGATCTCACCAACCAAATGATTTGAAGACAGATTAAGTCTTTGTAGTTGAGTTAAATTTCCAAACTTTGGAGGAATAGAACCATTAATTTGATTGTTGTTCGCCCGAAAATCAGTGAGATACTTCAACTTCCCAAGTTCACCAGGAATGGGACCAGCAAGCTCATTTTGATGCATATAAAGGAGATTTAAAGATGTCAAATCACCAAATGATGATAGAATAAAACCACCAAGCTGATTTTTGACCACCGAAATATGAGTGAGTGACTTCAACTTCCCAAGTTCACTAGGAATGGGACCACACCTAGGGTTAGCCACTGTAGGTTGCTGAGGTTTGCTAGGGATGATGGAATAGAACCACTAAGCTGATTGTTGTACACCAAAAGATGAGTGAGAGTCTTCGAATTCCCAAGTTCAATAGGAATGGGACCAGAGAGTTGATTATGGTCCAAATAAAGGGCATTCAAATTTGTCAAATCACCCAATGATGAAGGAATAGAACCACTAAGTTGATTGTAGTACACCACAAGATAAGTGAAATTTCCCAAGCTTGGCCGGCATGGGACCTGAGAGTTGATTTTGCTCCAAATAAAACCTATTCAAAGATGTCAAATTACCGAATAATGAAGGAATAGAACCACTAAGCTTATTGAGGCTCACCACATGATCAACAAGAGACATTATATTCCCAAGTTCAGGAGGAATAGGACCAGAGAGTTGATTTTGGTCCAAATAAAGGAAATTCAAAGATGTCAAATTACCGAATGATGAAGGAATACAACCACTAAGCTGATTGATGCTCACCTCAAGATCAGTGAGAGACTTCAAATTCCCAAGTTCAACAGGAATGGGACCAGAGAGTTGATTTTGGTACAAATTAAGGAGATTCAAAGATGTCAAATTACCCAATGATGAATGAATAGAACCAGTAAGTTGGTTTTCAGTCACGTCAAGCTCAACAAGAGACTTCAAATTCTCAAGTTCAACAGGAATGGGGCCAGAGAGTTGATTTTGGTACAAATTAAGGAGATTCAAAGATGTCAAATTACCCAATGATGAAGGAATAGAACCACTAAGTTGATTTTTGTACACCACAAGATGAGTGAGAGACTTCAAATTGCCAAGTTCAATAGGAATGGGACCAGAGATATTGTTCGAGTATAAGGACAAGATGGTTAGCTGGTGCAGGTTTCCTATTTCTGGTGGGATTACTCCAGAAAACTTGTTCAATGAAACGTCAAGATATACAAGTTTGGACAAGTGTCTTACTTCTGGTGGGATGGGGCCATATAAGTTGTTTAGACTGAGATTAAAATGTGTAAGATTGTGTAGCAAAGAGAATGAAAATCGATGAAGCGTACCCATTAATCCAAATGATGTGAGGTTCAACTTCTGAATGCTCCCATCAGCATTGCAAACTACTCCAAACCAAGAACTGCATGGAACTGATGCACTGGAATTCAAAGGGAAGGGAATCCATGAAGAGAGCAAGGAGTTTTTTGGGATTTGAAGGCTTGCTTTCCATTTAAGAAGAGCATTAGCTTCCTCTAAAGAAGCAGAAGTAAAATAGGGTGTGGGGGAGAGTATGATGATTAGTAGAGTTAGAGAGAAAAGTAGGAAGTTTGATGAAGACATTATTTGCTTTGCAATGTTGCTTTCAATAAAAAAATGAATGGTTTGCTCGTCCTAATTTATAGCTGAGCTACATTTTTCTCTTGTTTTCTTTTTCACATGCTCGAAATGGAAATTTGGACAATGTCAAATTTTTCCACAAGGCGTGTCTTTTAACATGCCAAAATTTTCCGCAAAGGTGTGTGTTACACTTTGAATTGTATCTATCTGTCATGATATTAATCCTTCTTTTAGAACAGTATAACTCGTTGTCACCCGAAATTTAGAAAGGCGTGAGGTTTACAAAAAGAATCCATGTGGTATTATATGTTATTGTTGGATTTCACAATGTAATAATATAACTTAACTTGATCATTTAGACATTTATTTTTGTTTTCTGATAAATGCTAATAGAAATTTCACTCCAACTGTGTTTTACTTCATAATTAATTATGTATGTGAGACTACTATTATTATGCAGATGATCCACGTGAAAACTGTGTGAAATGGGTCAATGGGGACAGGAACATAGCCACATAGGGCCCTTTAAAAGAATCCAAAAAACAAATGGACATGGAGTGTTCCTTGAAAGTGTGAATGAGGGAAAACCGGAAAATAATATAAATATGAAGATAATTAAATAAATACTAATGTTCTTATTGTTCCCTGCAATCTATTTCATTTCATCTGTTAATTCCTTTTATCTCCTGAGGTGTCTAAAACGTCGCATACTTACATAGACTTGAAAATGAAGACAATTAAATAAATTTAAAGTGCAGTACAGCTGTATTATTGTTTGTTTCTCATAGATCGAGTCCTTATCTGCACATATTAGCGACAGAATTCGCCACAAAACAAAAACAGTTGAATTTCACCAAAGCAACACCTGGAGCAAAATGGTCAAAATTTGAATCGAGAGGGAGGAATCATTTGTGCATGTGAGTCTAATGAATGTTAAGAAATGCCTGAACGATTTCTTTTTAGTAGTGTTGTGATATCATAGAGTACTTGAAAACAAATAATATTTATAGAAAATAAATGCCTCCAAACATTTGTTAGTTCTGCCTAAAAAATTTGTACACACGCAATACAAAATCAGAGAAGAATGGTTCCCAGGCAATGGTATTAGGTAACATTAAACTTTAAAATGTGAACCAAATTTACATATATTTGTAGCTGTTTAATGTTCTTATGATGTCTTTGGCAATTAAAACTTGCTTAACACTAAATATCATGTTTTTGGAAAATATCAATATATATGTTGAGGGAGAGACCTTGTTTTATTTCTTTCCAGATTGCAATAATTAACAATATTCACAAATATATGATAATCAGCTTGCAATTTCTTCCATGATCAATATAACTCACAATCAGTATATATCTCAACCTCATTTTTTATACAAACTAGGCGAATACTCGCGCGTTGCGCAAAATGCAACAATATTTTTGAAATATATAAAAATATATATTTTAAATATATCAATGACGTTGTTAACTTTTATATAATAAATCTTATAATAAGTTGGTATAAGCATTGTTTATTTTGAATTACATAATAATATAGACATTTTTAAAAATTTTATAGTCTCGATGGCCTCTACCTGCGGGTTACTCATTAATAAAATTAAATATAATATATAGTTTAATGATATTTATATGTGTTGTTATGATTAATTAATTTTAAAAAATTTATTTGCTTAATATTTTAATTTCTATCATTCTAATTATTTTAAACATCAAACATTTTTTTGTTTTTAAAGGTAACAATATAATTTTTCTTTATAATGTTACATTTAATTATTGTTGTTGTAAGTTATTTAAAATAATATATTAGGAAACTCTTAATTATTTTAATTTGGTTTTAGACATTTAATTTTTATAAAAGTTTTCTATGAATATTATTAGTTTCTTTGATTATGATTATTTAAAACAACAAATATTGTTTTTGGTTTTAAATATAACATTATAATTTTTTTATATAATATTACTTTTAACTATTTTTATTGTAAGTTATTTTTAAGCTACTTATTTGAAAACTCTTAATGATTATAACAAATATTTTCATGGTCTTTTTTTTGTTAACTTATGATTACAATTTAGGCTTAACAGTATGATTTATAACCTTTAAGTATTTGTAAATTAGTCTCTCAATTTTTCCAAGTTTAACTAAAATTTTGATTTAAATTAACCATCTAAGTTATATTAAAATTAATAATTTAACTATTTTATTCTACTTATGTCTTAAGACTACCAACAACCTCTTCATTTAAACTATTTAATTTGAATATCCTTTTTTTGTACTTTTCAAAAAAATTGTATTATGTTTTGGTTTTCGTTTCAAAATGTGAGACTTTAGTGAGACTTTGGTGAACTTTTCCTTTGGAACCTATTGGGTAGAAAACTTCTATTGGGCTTTCCATTGGGCCGATAACCCTTCATTGGGCCTTACTGGACCGAAGACTTTTTCCGTGAACTTTATTGGGCCGAGAGCACTCCTTTGGGCTTTAATGGACCGAAAATTCCTATTGGGCCAAGCCAAAAATCAAAACCCATTTCTTTTGGGCTCTCTTTTGGACCGAAAACCCTATATGGGGTCGGTTATGGTTAAGTAAACAAAAAATGAGAAAATAAGAGATAAAGGAATGGATTAAAAGTATGCCACCTCCTTATTACCCAACATACACCAATGCTATGGACTACAATGTACCCATGCAAGCTTCACATCACCAAGCCACAAAGTCAACTCTTTTCCCCCTTTCCATCTTATTTTCGACCATAAACTCACACACAGACACAACATTCATTTGCGATTCATCCCACTCCAAACTCTCTTAAATCCTCTCATTTTTCTCTCAAAATTTTGAAACTAACTCCAAAGAAAAGTTGCATCTTCAAGTGGTCCTAAGAAATCAAGGTAAGTTCTTGTATAACTCAAGTGATTTCATACACCAAAAGGTTAAGATCATCACATTTACACACCATTTTTGTGTGTAGCTTCTTAGAACACTATCCATTTTCGAGAATCTCTTTAAGTTCAAGTCTATTCTCGAAAATCTCTTCACTCTCCTTTCTTCCTACCACATGAAATCAACCAAGGTGAGCTTCATACCCCACTATTTTCGTGTTTTTCATACTTTTTTTTTTTTTTTTGGGGGGGGGGGGGGGGGGGGGGGAATACCAGTCAAATCTCGTTTAACCATAATTGCATGCACCTAGGTGTTATGTGTTTAACCTTTGGGTAATAGCACACATCTTAGTTATGTGTTGAAAATACAACTAGAACTTGTACAAAAAGGTTTTTATCATATGTTTTTTCATAAAAATCGTGGGTAATGTGTTTGTTAATATATATATATATATATATATATATATATATATATATATATATATATATATATATATATATATATTACATGAAAACTTATGGTTATGGGTTGTACACTCAAAAATAGCTAAAATATGAGTGTTGGGCTCAAGTATGTTAACACTTGGAACATATACATTTTTAAACATTTATTGGAACATAATAAATTTCAAATTTTCTATATACATTTTTGTGAAAATCGTGACATGCTAGAGTTACAACAAAATAGTATATTTTGTGTTACAAAACTCTTAAACAAAATTTTGGTGTGTTGAACAAACTAGAAAACTTGATTATTTTACTAAAAATAATTTTTACTAGAAAAATAGTCCTAATATGTTGTCACCATTTTAATGGTTTAAAAACTTATAGGATTATGCTATTTACACAACATACATTACAAGTAGACAAGTCCATTAATGATTATTTATAAAAAGTATTATAAATAATTTAACCAAAATGGTATACAAAACATAATTATAGAACAGAAAATTTTGCGTGTCATAATCTGTCCATCATAAAGCTTTTGAAAGTACAAGTTATAACTTGTATGTCATAAAGCTGTAAAACGCGTGTCATAAAAATGCAGTCATAAATTTACACTAGTAAGGTTGTTTTCAATATTCAACGAGTGGGGTCAAAGTTCACGTAAATTAGTTAATGCTCTTGTGAGACTTTTTTTCGTCATACCTACCTAGCGTACACCGTAAGTCCTGCATTATAACCAGAGTTTCCTGGAGGGAGAGCGAGACCGTTGTATATAGATCTATACGGGATTGACAACCCCACACCTCAGCTGTTCACTACAGTTAGACCGGCAAGTTTAGGATGACAAAGGTCCCCCCCCCCCCCCCCGCGGCTCCGACGTTTGAAGAATGTCGTGTTCAGGCATATCAGTCATATTAGTATGGTTATAAGAACTCCCATAGGGATTAACATACTATTTCGGTTTACGGGAAGCTGACACTTTATTGGTTTTATTAAACTATAAAGCAACAAATCTTTTTTCAAGTATTAAGTCTCTTACACTTCTAGTCTTAGGGTTTAAGACTACAATTTCTCATGAATCAGAAAATATGGATTTTCTGGGAACACACTCCTTACAAAGGAAATGATACAAAGGAATTACCTTCGATTTCAGTTCATACTAATGAAAATATTGGATTTTGTATGAACACACTCTTTACAATTACAAACAAAAGAAAACAAAGAGTTGACTCGATGAGTTTGCTAGGGTTTGACTTAAGGGACTCGACGAGTTGATAAATTTGCCTTAAAACGTCTGAATGAGAATTTAACTTAAGGGACTCGACGAGTCAAAGATCTAACTTGACGAGTCGGCTAGGATTTTTCCCGATGAGTCTGGATAGGGGTAACTTGGTGAGTTGGTGAGATAGCTTGACGAGTTGAGTTGGGTCTTCACAAGTTTCTAAAGGAACAAGGGGGACTCGGTGAGTCACATAGTTTCACTCAACAAGTCGTGTTAACATGAACAGTTGACTCGAGTGTTGACTTTTGTTGACTTTAGGGTTTGGTCGAGGCAGGGAGTATGGGAACCAGAGGGTCCTCACTGAGACACATGACTAGAGGGTCCACAGCGAGACGCATGAGATCGGAGGGTCCATGTCGAGTTATAGCCATGAGAGGCTTATTATTTGTG